CAAGAAAGAGGGCTGTGTAAAGCTGCAACATGGAGTGCACGGATGGGCCCCATGATTTTCCGGTGACGAACTTTAATACATTCTCAAAGCCAATGAGCTTTTTCTTCAGGTATGTGACATGCGGGCTCCAGGTGAGGTCGCGATCTACGATGACACCTAAGAATCTATGAGTGCTCTTATATGGGATTGATCTGCCATCGATGCACAATGAGTAGAAAGACATCAGTTTGCGTGTGAACGTCACCGCTGTGCATTTTTCTGTGGTGATAGTCAAACCTTAACCTTGCTGGCGAAGGTATGTCGATGTCATTGTTGCCGCTTTCTGCATTCTTACGCGCACTTGAGGCCGTGTCACGCCGGACGCCCAAATGCAGATATCGTCAGCGTAGAGAGATATATAAGCCGTCTGTGGCAGCATTTCGGTGAGCCCCACGAGAACCAAGTTGAAAAAAGTTGGACTCAAAACACCGCCTTGTGGCACCCCACGACTTGTGAAATACTTATTCGTAGACCCATCCTCAGTTAAAACGAACATGGGTCTCTTTGTGAGGTAGCTTCTTACCCATCGAAAGACACGACCTCCAAATTCAGCTGCTTCAAAAGCGTTGAGAACAGCCTCGTGAGTCACGTTGTCATAGGCACCCTTCACGTCTAAGAACAGAGCTACCGACAGCCGCTTCTGAGCTTTCTGATGCTGAACAGAGGTCACTAAGTCAATAACGCTATCAACTGAGGGCCGACCTCGTCGAAAACCATCCATGGCATCAGGATAGATGTTATAATGTTCAAGGTACCATTCCATGCGTGTAAGCAGCATTCTTTCCATGGCCTTGCCGACGCAGCTTGCTAGAGCTATAGGCCGGTATGATGCAAAACCGAATGGAGACTCTCCGGGCTTCAGCAAAGGCACCAGGCGACTACACTTCCACTCATCAGGCACCATTCCATCATGCCAAGACTTATTGAAAGTGTCCAGGAGACAGCGCTGTGCCTTCGGGCCTAGGTGACGTAGGGCAGTATAGGTCACTCCATCCAGACCTGTGGACGATGAGCGTCTGCATGTGTTCAATGCCGCATGAAGTTCTTCCATGGTGAATGCAACCTCCATTTGCTGATCTCGTGCGACTGGAACATCCTGTGAAAAGTCAGTTTTAAGTTAGGGCGCCGGCTTTTCGGCCGATTTCTGTAGGCGTGCGTTTACCAGCACCCATGCGTTCCGCGCTGGGACTCCCGACACTGCAGCCTGCGATCACTGCGTCAGTGAAGCAATGACTGCGCGACGCATATTTTGAGATTTTACACTGTGCAGTGCACATCTCGTTGCAACGCGATCTGCGAGTCAGACGACCGACCTATGACGGAAGAGAAAATTCTACTACATCGGCATGATACAATGTCGCAGAAGGACGTGCAAGCGCTGATGTGATTATTGCGACCCGCCGGTATCTCTGGACGACGATTGCCGCAACGGCTTTTATTTGTGTTCTTTTCCTGTGTGTGTGCGTGCGTGCGTGCGTGCGTGCGCGTGTGCGTGTGTGTGTGTGTGTGTGTGTGTGTGTGTGTGTGTGTGTGTGTGTGTGTGTGTGTGTGTGTGTGTGTGTGTGTGTGTGTGTGTGTGTGTGTGTGTGTGTGTGTGTGTGTGTGTGTGGAAAGAAGGGGGGGGGTGGCGGCATGCGCGAGCACACTTTCTTTCCTTTAACCTCTATTTCAGCACCACAGAGCAGAGAAACTAACCGAATTCTAATATCTAATTAACCTCTCGGCCTTTTAAAGACGATAGTCTTTCTTGGGGACTTTCGACAGAATAATTTTGGTCTGTCTGTCTGTCTGTCTGTCTGTCTGTCTGTCTGTCTGTCTGTCTGTCTGTCTGTCTGTCTGTCTGTCGGTCTGTATATTTGTCTGTTTGTCTGCCCTTAACGATACCTAAAACCGCACCAAACGTCCAACCCCATTTAGCGTTCAAACGACCGACCAGATTTATCGTTCCTAGTTGTGCGATTGTCAATTAAAAATCAATTATGGTGCATATCTGAGGCACCATAACAACACGTCGATGTTTTGTAGGTCTGCCTTTATACTAGTAGAGGCACACACAAGTAACTCTAAGGACTGTGAAGTTTATCGCGATGCGCTGACAGTGCAACGCGATGCTCAAAAAGGTAAGTGTTTCCAACGCTTTGCTACGACGACACGGTGGTGGCACCTGCCCGTCGCTTAGCATTCTACACCTTATCCCCTGCGAGACAGGCGCGCATCTTTCTCCGTGGGGGCGCACGCCTTCGTTTTCGAAGATAACTGCCAGATGGCGCTCGTGTCTAACGTGCCTCGATGCGCCCGTTCGCCTCCGCTACACGCTCGGGGCACTCAAACGCAGCGCCCCCAGAATACCATTCACCAATTTTCATGCGCAAAACATCAAATAAACGTTTTGCTCACTCTTTCCAAACGCAAGGTCTTTCAACGACATTTGCAGTGTAACATGTAAATTTGGTGCCAATTTTTTTTTATCTTTGTCTCTCTTTTGTAGATGCCTCAGATGAAGTTTCCTTAGGCGGACGTAGTTAGCCAAGCGTGAGCGACAGTTTCCCAACGTTTTCGTTCGCCGCATCGGTTGCAGTAACTGGAAGACTACCAAACCATTGTGACTCCCTCGTTTTCCTGTAACAAAGTTCGGCAAAGTCCTTCCTTACGGCAAAGTATTCAGATTTTTTTTGTGTGTGTCGAAACGAGACAGCGATCGGCTGTGCAAACACACAAACGCTGGCGGTGAAATTGAGACGATATAATCGATATTATCGAAGGATTATTCACTCGGCTAGGCTCGACGAGCTACAAAACGAAATTCAAAATAAAAGCACAGAGATATAGAGAGAACATTTGGGGAAGCTTACTGCTCCGTCTCCGCAGATGGGCTGCGTGCTCCTATTTCCACGAGCTTACGAGACTTTCATCTCGATGAAGTTTCAAAGCCGGTAAATTGCGAAAGTTTCGTCTATAACGAATTATACGAAGACGCGACTAAATTCACGGCTAGTACCGCTTACCTAATGCGCGACACCCGTCAGCGTTTAGAATAAAGCCCCACTGAAAGAACCCTGATTTCGGAGTTCAATTGTGCAGGTGGAAACCATTTTTATGCGTTTTCTTTCTTTCATTTATTTCGTATGTCTCTTATGATGGGATGCCGGTTCCCGAATGGGGAACTGCAAACGTTTCAGTGTCTGTACAACGGTGGCTTGTAGCGATATTACGCGTTCTTAAACTGGTTCTTGTAAAATTGAAGTGCGATGATGAATAATAATTAAAAATTACACCATATCGCCGAAGGGGAACATAGGGTGATGTGCAGCATCGTGATTGTTAGGTAGGTAGATGGGTGGGTGGGTTGGTTGGTTGGTCGGAAGGGAGGAAGGAAAAGGAAAGAAAGAAAGAAAGAAAGAAAGGAAGGAAGGAAGGAAGGAAGGAAGGAAGGAAGGAAGGAAGGAAGGAAGGAAGGAAGGAAGGAAGGAAGGAAGGATTGATATGTGGGGTTTAACGTCCCAAAACCACTGATGATTATGAGAGACGCCGTAGTGGAGGGCTCCGGAAACTTCGACCACCTGGGGTTCTTTAACGTGCACCCAAATCTGAGTACACGGGCCTACAACATTTCCGCCTCCATCGAAAATGCAGCCGCCGCAGCCGGGATTCGAACCCGCGACCTGCGGGTCAGCAGCCGAGGACCTTAGCCACTAGACCACCGCGGCGGGGCGAAAGGAAGGAAGGAAGGAAGCTACAAAGAAACAAAGGCCACCCATCTCACAGGAGAAATGGAGAGAAATCGAGAATATAGGTTGCCCAGGGAGCGGCGACGGGTCCGTGCTTCGCTGTTCGAATTCTTGCGCGACTCGGTGCAAACTCCGCATTTTATTTAAACGTGTTTAAGAAAACTGAAAAATGAAAACGAAAAAAAAATGCCGTGCACCGTGGTTGAAAGTGTTTAAACCAGGTTTGGTTGAGCGATAGCTCGGTTTTGCTTGCTTTGGGGAAAAATGATTGGTTTGCAGAGATTCAACTTGCGTACTTTTGTTTACACAAAGACGACGAGAAGCCTGCGCGCTTCCGCTTCACGCAGTGTCAAGGTAGCCAACGCGCTCTAACGCAAGACATCACGCAAGCTCTGTTCTACGCCGCCACAACTGTCGGTGCGATCGCGGTGTGAACATGGACGCAGCCAGTGCCTGTGAAGGTCTTTCAGGGCCTTTAGGTCACAGTCCCCCATTGCAACACCGTAACCTATGCCCAGTCATACCTCCCAAGAACTTGTAATGAATGGAATTCCCTGCCTGCATCAATAACAAGCATCAATGATGCCATTCAATTTAAAAATGTCCTTAAAACAATGATTACCTAATTACCCCCTATATGTTTGAACAGTTTATTTGTATTGCTTTGTGCCTTCACCGTGTAATAAAAATAAAATTAGTGTTATCATTTTCTTTATTATGATGTGAGTTGTTAGGATTAATAATCTTTGTACCCCAATTAGTGACAACATTTTTATGCCATTTGCTTTGTATTCCTTGTTTTTTTCATTGTTGTGCATGCCCTTCCCCTCTGAAATGTACTGTGTACCCTGAGGGTAAAGTAAATATATAATAAATAAATAAAGCGGGGCGGCACGAAGGCGCCACCTTGATGCACTGTTCGTTTATATATATATATATATATATATATATATATATATATATATATATATATATATATATATATATATATATATATATATATATATATATATATATATTCACAATGGTCTGATTATTTTTCTCTTCTACAGTTATTTTATTCGCTGTATATTTTTGTCTTGTGTGTTTCTTCAATACTATTATTATAATGTTGATGAGATAGGTGGCTCCAACGTAGCCCACATTGCCATGTTCTCTATAAATAAATACAAAGTAATAACTTGGTAAGATGTTTGTTCATTATTGTTTAGTGTATTTTTATTTTTATTGCAGTGTTACGCACTCGGACTACGTGCCCAACTTCTCGCCGGACCTGTTTTTCCTCTTCCTGCTTCCTCCGTGAGTACCACTTTCGGTATTTCATAATTTTTTATATGCATTTCAACCTGTGCGTCTGGTGTGACCCTTTGATGTTATTTCCTGGAAGGTTCCTTTCAGTACATTTTTTTTCTTATTTGTGCAAAATGTGAAAGAGTGAAGTGCATGCATGAATTTGTCGATACTATTTTTTTTTTACTTTCGTGGAATGCTTCTTTTCCTCACTTCAGTCAATAATAATATGTTATAACACTAGAAACCATGGCTCAGAAATAAATAAAAGACAGCATATGAACGTTTTGCGCGTTTTAAAATGCTTGTAGAACGTATAACTGTTCGACCGCTTAGAGTCAAGCACGCCGCACTGAAGCAGGGAGGCAGGGAGAAAAATTTAAGCGGAGGAATTGAACGGCTAAGCATGCGAATCTATTCCTCGATGCATGCGCTGTCGGTTACTTATGCGATGACCACCGCTTTCCCAAGTAGGATGAGCCTCAGGAGACTACGAGCAAACTAGGGTAGTCGGGACGCCCTTGGCTATGTGCTTTAACTGCGGGGGAAAAACATCTCGGCCAACAACGATGCTACAAAAAATAATTTATAACGTTTAAATCTGTGTTAATTAAACATTGAGAAAATATTTAGAATTACGCTAAGCATTCATGGAACTATATTATTTATTTCGCCTTAGCATCTTGCTTGAAGTGCATACATGCGAAACGAATCGCGATGAATATTGTGTGCTTTGTTATGTAGACGCCTGCAGGGCTTAGTTGCCTATTCGTAAACTTCTCTGTGCGATTTAAGTTGTTCATAGAGTATTATGAATTTCCGCATTGCATTTTTTCACACGTGTGGGGACTTGATTGAATATTCAGAACTGTGGCCTGTGTTTTTCTATTTGTTCTTTTTTTAATATTTCTTCATGCATTGGTTATCTACGTCGTGAGATAAAACATTACAAGCGCTACTTGAACATTATTATATCCTATAATCTATATCAATAAAAACGCAAATAACGGGTGAATAGTTGTTTTGATTGATTGATTGATTGATTGATTCAATCAATCAATCAATCAATCAATCAATGAAGCTTTATTTTCATAAATAGATATATGCAATTACAGGGATTATTTGGACCGATAGCCTAAAGTGGCTAGTGGACGGTCCAATACAATGTGCAACATAAAAAAGTGTACAGGTCAGCTCTGAGGTAACAACATAAAAAAAACAATCATGTGATACAGATAACACAGTAATACATTTTTTCTTGCAGATATGCATACTTATTAGCTTGCAGCTAGTTTCTATACATAGGCACTTATTAAAAAATACAATGAAAATCGAATCACACACACATGCTTACATGTCTTGACTCCACAGAAAAAATGATTTACATGCCATGCTGAAATTACGTGCCGTTTTAATCTCTAGGGGGACCGTGTTCCATATTTTTGTTCCACTAAACTGTATCAGTCTTTCTCCGTAAACATTAAAACATTTGGGCAGATTGAAATTACCATTCGAAGCATGTCGCGTATTGCGTTTAGGAATTGAAAAAAGATCAGCAGGCAAAGGTGAATTTCTATTAATTATGTTATTTACTGAAACAGCAATTTTGTAGTCACGCAACATCGGAACCGAGAGAATGCGTTGTGATTGGAAAATATTACTTACTGATTCACCTTGGCTTATGATTTTCAGTGTACGCTTTTGAAGTCGTTCAAGAGTTTTTAGATAACTGTTGTACGTCACACCCCACGATTCCAGACAGTAACCTATGTGACAATGACACAATGAAAAGTAGAGTGTGCGGAGTATAGCTTGTGGAAAATATTGGCGAGCTTTCATTAGAGAATAGCAGCCATAGGCTAGCTTTGCGCACACACTTTGTACTTGCTCATGCCAGTGTAAGTGTTCATCAAAAGTGACGCCTAAATATTTAAAACAAGGAACTTGTTGAATAGGAGTGTTGTTTATTGTTAGGTTAAGAGATTCAGCGTCAATATGTTTCCTACGAGAGTGAAACACCATATACTTTGTTTTAGTACAGTTAACAGTCAGCTGATTCCTGGCAAACCATTCCGAAATGTTCGATAAATCGGTCATCGCGTCATTTTGTAAATCTGCTAAGGAGTGTCCTGTGAAAACTAAAACAGTGTCGTCCGCGTACATCAGTGCCCTTGACCTTTGTAGGGATCGCGGGACATCATTAATATAAAGAGAGAACAATATAGGGCCCAAAACTGAACCCTGTGGCACCCCGCATTTAATATAACCGTAGGATGATTTGATGTCACCAATGACTACCTTTTGTTTGCGTGCCGATAGATAACTAGAAAAAAAATCAAGCGAGTTACCTTTTATCCCATAAGAATGCATTTTTTCCAGTAAAATGGAATGACTAATAGCATCAAATGCCTTTCGTATGTCTAAAAATACTGCTATTGCTATGTTGTTTTCATGTAGCGCGGATTGATTGATTGATTGATTGATTGATTGATTGATTGATTGATTGATTGAATGAATATGCATGAATACAGGGCCCTAACATTCATTCAGTTTCCTCTATTTACGTGAAGCTTCAGCGCTATCGAAATGTAACTCTGTATTCAAGTGCTTTTCTTTCCAATCGAAGGTTTTTAGTGTAATCCATTAGCATTCTTCGCGGCTAGGACACCTTCAAAGAAACAGATAGTTTCGTTCACAAAATGTTTCTTTCGCTTTAATGCCGTTTCTTCCCGCTCCGTTCGAGTTAATGTGTGCGAGCAAGACGAAGGCTTTTAAGCAATTACTGCGCCAATGTCGCGCTTTATTTATTAAGGGTGCAACACTTTTAAGACCGTACAACGTCCCTCCGTCCATAAAGCGTCTTTCAGCGTCTACAGCAGATGTAGAAAACCGAAACGTATGTCAACAACAAAAAAGTTTATCTAAATGCAGTCAATCAGAGTAAACAAAATAAAAGGCCACAACACTGGAAAAACACCGACATTCAACCACCCGTTAATCAAAGCGAATGACAGAAGAAAAGGTTAACGAGACGAAACTAAAGAGCTGTTAACCAGAAAAAAAAATAGAAGGCCACTATTCATAATCTGAATTCTTTGTCCCATCATCAGCATTTGCTTCTTGAATATGCGTATAGAGCCTGATCACCTGCGAGCTTTGCGGTGCATAGAGAGAATGGGAAATAACGAAAAGGCAAAAAAGGTGTGTTTTACAAAGAAAGAAAAAAAAAGGTCGTGCTTTATGATGTGTTGCTTGGGATTGTTAGCGTTGTTGTATAGCGTCGGCCACACCTATTGACTAATACCAGAATTCGCGAAAATCTCACGAAGCCTATTTACGTAGCGACAGGAGAAACAACACTATATACAGTCTAGGCACAGCAGTCTGATATATATAATTACATCTGCCTCATTGACACCATGATAATTAGGTGAGTGCTATCGAAGTTACAAACATAATTGCGTAAAACTAAATATTTTCATTAACAAAAAATTGTAGTTTTCACGACAGTATATTGGGAACTACGCGCACTGTCACGCTGTTCCCGTTTTTATAATTCGCACTGCTTGATAATATAGACAACCTGTATATATTCGCCAGCGCATGCGCAGTAGCATTTTTGCGAATGGTCCGTTGCAAGCAAAACTAAGCCTCCTTTTGTGTTCCTTTTTTCTCTTTTTAATGACAGCCGTTTCTTCTTTTTTTATATGCGCAGTGTTGCATCCCGTCAGGGCCTTGTATTATTCTCGTTACGCGGACGCTCTGTCATTTCTTCCTTTTTTATTTTTATTTTTTTTTTCTTTTCTTTTGTTGTTGCTTGAGAACGAACGTACGTGCCTATTATTCTCGCATTTACCAAGCACGACGCAGCCGGCGCGCAACAAAGGCCTTCCAAATCCGCGCTGAATCCCTCTACAGCGGTGCCTGGTCTCTCCGGACTCCCAATTCATCTGTTTACGGCCTCGCATAACGCAAGTTCTGCAGCGCCATTATGGCGTCCCTTGCGCATTGACTGCAGCGGCAGGTACTTTGTTGTTTCTGAACCTATTTTTGTGCCAGAACGACTCTTCTTTCTCTTCTTTATTGCATTTCCGTTAAAGGGTCCATAAACGGCCGTTAAAACTACACACACATACACAAAAAAAAAAAGAGCGCGCTATTTCCTCTTGGTATTTCTCCTCTTTTGGGTGCGATTCTATAACGATGATTCGCGTGACGTCATTAGGCTGCGTACTCGCGATTTGTTTATATATACAATAAATATATGAATAGCAGTTGTCATTCATAACCTACACTGGTTCGCCGTGAAGTCGTGCGCCTTTTCTTTCTCGACACGCGTGGCTATCGTGCTCGATTAACTGATATAAATCCATTCAGTGTGTTTACGACTGTGCAAGCGGAGGTATCAGCGTGCAGACGACGCGTGCTAAATCCTGATAGGCTGAGCGCTTACCGCTGACATTGTACAGGTGCTTTATGAAGAAATAAGTAGGGGGGATAAGATGTCGTCGCCTCGACATCTTATCCTCCCGTCCTCGAACTCGAAGAGGTTTCGGGGCCCTTTAAGTTACACCCGCCTTGTTTTCTCCGCACTTCTGCCTTTCTCTCTTTACACGTGCGTTTTTTTTTAATCATTTCGTTTTATCTTCTTGCAATATCGGTAACTTCATTATACACTAATGCCCTCTGCTATAGCCATGTGCAACGCCGCATGGCGGAGGGGGAGGGGGAGGGCTTGGGGGGGACTGACTGCTCTCCCCTAATATTATCTAGCCCCCTTCCCCTTTTCTCCCTCAATAAGCAAACACAGTCCAAGAACAATGCATAAGTTTCGTGCCCCCGTAGACCCTTCTCTCAAGGAATCTTACGAATCACAGGTGCCACGCCCCACTTTTTTTTTTTTCAGGGGCGAAGCTCCGTAAAGAGGCACCCGTTCGTCCCTCGTCGTAGTCGTAGTGCGTAACCAGTCTTTCGCTTTGACCTGCAAGGTGGTGCCGGTGGGAGATTTC